TTACATATCACTTTCAACAGGATACAAGTCTGAACTGCATGCAGCCACATTAATGGATAGGCACACACAAGATTATGATGTACTGATGTACTGTAGGATGTCACGTAATGGGCCTACCAATCACAACAGTCTAGGTGTGTGCATGTGTCTCTTGTGCATCTTTGTGAGTTGCTTAGCTCAATAAAAACATGACTATTTTGGAGAATGCCCTAAACAGCCATAACATGAGAATAACAATTCTCCCGGAACATGCTCACTGTCTTCTGCAACCATGCACTGAGAAAACACTGTTTGTTGTCATGCCTAAGGCATCTCTCTTTGTCACAGTCATTGATATGTCTTAATGAAGCCATGAGGAACCTTAATCTAAACGTGGCCTATGTCTGAATGACAGAAAGCCGTCACTTTAACAGATTGATGAAGCCAACAATGTTATGTATCCCATGTCTGAAAAGATATACATTAGTGCACAAGGTACAGACAGGTGACAAATGAAGGAAAAACCTGAATAAATGTGTGGAGAAACATGCCAAATGCAGATGGTAATATGGTTTGGGTTCATTTGTCTCCTTAGAGGGAAGGGTCACTGCAGATCAACACCAAATTGTTCTCATGGAAGTGGCCTCCTCCAGGTTGACAGTGCCCCAGTCCACAGGCCACGAGGGGTCACTGAATGGTTTGATGAGGATGAAAGTGATGTGAATCATATGCTGTGGCCTTCACAGCCACCAGATGTCGAGCAAGTTGAACACCACTGGGAGATGTCGGAGTGATGTGTTAGACAATGTCTCTACCACATCATCAAAACACCACATATGGCAATGTCTTTTGGAAGAGCAGTATTCATCCTGCCAGTAGAGTCCAGAGACGTGGAGAGTCAATGTTCTGGTGGCATGTGGTGGACCAGCACCTTACTGAGACACTTTATGTTGTTTTTTTCCTTTCATTTCTCACCTGTCTCTATATTAACCGCAGGTAGCCATAGCAACAATCCTTCTCTTTGATAACACTCACTGAAAAAGACCATCAGTTAAACTAACCACAAACACACTTTGGAAATGATTGAAGATTTGAAGCCATCCTACTTTGTTTTGTTTCTCTAAGCATCCATGGCATAAGCCTGGCAATACAATAGGACATGTGTAGAGGATAAGAAAGTGTTCTTCATCACTTACTCCTCTTTTATTATGAATCATAAATTTCAGGCTTTCTGTATTTGTCTTTCTCTTCTGTTCAGAATGTTGCTGCTGATGTCAGGACTGTAATGTGTTTGGTGAAATACTGTAGCTGTATGGGTCACTGTAAGTAGTTTGTTATTTCAATAAACAATGCTGCCCATTGCTTAGTTCATGTTATGACCTTAGCATGCTCCATGTTTTGAATCACTAAGGCCGAATGGACTTGTTGAAAAAAGGGGCAGAAATAAATAACTAAATAAATAAATATAGAAACTCACCCATTTTGCATCAGCATTCATAGGTATGATATTCACAATTAGTTGATGTCGACTTGATGATGATGATGTCAGTCAACATTTGTTGATTTTGGCTTTTTATTATAAATGATATATTATCTAGCAAGAGTTACAAATTGTTTTATAAAAACATTAGCAGCAATCCAAACAGAGTTGTTAGTCTGACTTATTGCTGTAGGATTGAGATGTTTCTGTTTAGGTGTAACATGAGCTTAGAAATGGTTTGCTAAGACTGTAATTGTTACATTGTGTTGGAGAGGACACACAGCCCGGCAGTAAACTCTGCATAATGCACTGCTTTAGGCAGTGCTCTCCTTTTTCTTCTGCACTGTAAATGAAAAATATTTACTGTGGTTTTTTTCGGTACAACATTAAAGCATGAACCCATTTTTCTTTGAATAAAGATTGATTTTATTTGACATAGGCTTGATGCAGCAATGGCTTTGAATTGGATCATTGTATTTTTACACCTCAATATTTTTGATAAAATATTGCATAGACTGAATATATTTGTAAGTGATTAACTTGATTTGAATTAATATATTCAATTACTCTAAAGATATAAAATCCCTAAATTCACAGTAATGCAGTTTGTGAGCAGGTTTGAACTAAAATGCAAATGAATTGGGTAAATGAAATGTATCCAACACTGGGTTTTGTTCAGTGAGTGTGTGGAATCCACGTGACTGAGCAATGGGGAGAAAAAGTGCAGTGAAATGCTGCCAAATTATATGTTCACGAGGAGAGGACATGGCTGCCAACAGGACCATCCTGAGCATGCCACAGTGTCTAGAATGACCCTTTCTGAGTTGAGTCTATGTTTTATAAAACCTAGTAATTGCCATTTAATCATGTGTAATTGTGCATTAGCCCAGCCCCACCCAGTTTAAGAATAGAAATGAGTTGTTTGCAGCCCAGGATTTGTCCTGAGAGGTGAAACGTCACTCCTGCAGACAATACTAAAATCCAAAAAGTACCGACTTCTTCTTTGTGTTTTAGCAGGAAAATGCATTAAAATGTTATATATATGATTGGAAATTTGTATTTACAACCTTTTCCTGAAAAGACCAACCAAGAAAAGGAGCGTTAACATTTTTTTTTAAAGATGCAAACACCACATCAGGCGTGTATAGTTTTGGTGTTAGTGCATTAATAAATCTTTACGATCTCTTTCTCTTTTGTTTGACACATCATCTTGTGCTTCTATGATGATTACCATTTTATCATATGTAAAGTATTTATTATTTATTAGCAGAACTACACCACTGGATTGCACTTCCAAAAAAAGACTATAAGTAGTTAGAGTCTTGGGTTTCAGTGAAGAATTTCACTATGTCTCACTAATATTTACTGTCAGACCTGGCACATTATACAGCACACAACAGTTTATGCAGGTATCATACACCTGAACATAGCTCGCAAATCAGCCTATAACCTTTGTTAGATCACAAAATTCCATATCCTGTGAAATATGGGGACGTCTCTGAACTAGCTGCAGAAGAACGTGAAAGATTAAGGAGGAAAAGTGCATTAAGATGCTCTGGATGTAAATATATATAAGGAGGGCGCAAGTGAGAGGAAGAAGGAGTGTAGGTTTTTAAGTTGCTGTCACCTGGCTGTCACTGTGTCTGTCAGAACAGATCCATCACACCTCTGACACATCAGGCTTCACATTTGCATGGAGTGCAGCAGGAGCCTTTCCCTATTATGCATTCTGTCTCACAATAACCTTCCCCTCTCTAGCAGATGAACTAACTAGCATATTTTATAAAATGGCATGAGTTGGGGATGATTGAGAGCTGTTATTGGTTTCTGACAATATGTGCATTGGTGTGCACGCGCGCGCATGTCTGTGTGTGTGTGTGTGTGTGTGTGTGTGTGTGTGTGTGTCTGGGTGCCGCCATCTTCCCAGGTGTACAGGGATCAGCCATCTTGTCAGGTGAGCTGCTGCTAACTAATTGTGTATTGCTATAACTTCTTCTCTGCGGGCTCACAGCACACACAACAACAGAGGTGAGGGGGTGGTGAGGACACAGTTGTGTGTGTGTGTGTGTGTGTGGCACAGTATGGTGGTGCAGATGCAGTCAGTCCCTCAGTGAGGAAGCCTCCACTGGGACAGACACAGCTGTGGCACGGCATCGGGTTGCTAACGAGCCTTATCACACAGACGCTAGACTAGACACATGCACCAAACTACACACACACATGTACACATGCAGGGAGTCATGCACAAATACACACTCAGACAGTCACAAAATTGAGGTATGCAGTGATATACTGGTGTGTTAAACTCACAATCATACACTCTGATAAACACACATGCACAAAAATGCACACACAGTAATACATTATCTGATAAACATACACCCCAACACACCCAGACACATGCAGCTACATAAACAGTACATATATACCATATATAAACCCAGATGATACACGCTCCAAAACACATGCTCCCTTATGTACTCACATACACGAACAGGCACACCCACATATAAATATGTTTTATGTTTCACACATTACCAGATGCACACACAGCCAACATTACAAGTATGCACAATGTACTGTATAATGCACGTCAACTGTTAATGTAAAAACCTATAATAATCAAATATAATAATAACTCCACTACTGGTGATGTTCATGATTGTACTGATGTTCTTTCACAATATAACTCATTAATCATGACAATGTTGCTCTTATGTTAGTAGTTTCTGCTGTAATTTCCACATACGATGTGTGTAATGTTGTGCTCACTAAGTTAAGATTGCTAAGGAACAATGGGGTCATTGGTGAGAAGAAGTCAGATGGGGCAAGAACAATGAGCAGTCACATGATCAAACAGGCTTTAAACAAAGTTAGTCAAACTGAAGGAGGAAACAAAAGCTGAAAAAGTAGTTTTGCAGGTTACATTTTCCTGCGCAACGAGGAACTATTTCTGATTTTACTTTTGTTCACTTTCAGCTTTACCTCCAAATAAAGTGACTTACATGTGGTGGTGAATCTGCTAGCGTTTAAAGCTCAGCTTGAGTTTCTATCTCTGTCGCTCTAGCACTGTTACTGAGCTTGAAGAATTCCATATAGGTTGGTATAATGTTATAGTTACTGCCACAGGAGGTTGACCTAAACTACAAAAATAACACCCAAGTTAGTAAAGCAGATTCTCTGTTATGTCCGTCTATTCCTTGGCAATTTCTGGAATTAGCTTGACCTCTTCTCACATTTTTTTTTATTTATGTTTGCACATAATTTGCCTAATGCCTGTTTTTGTTTTACTTCAAAACTGCAAATTTATTATTATTATATTAACTTTATGATTTTACTGTATGAATTTGTGACTTAATTACTAGAACTGACTTCAGTGTATGTGACCTAACCATAAAACAAATTGCTTTTCATAAATACTGACACATTTATATACAAAACAGACACGGTTTCCATCACACAGCAGTGCACACCTGAGTGTGTATGCAAATAACACAAAAAACATTTATTTTCTTATTTGTTTTTATTTTACAGTCACCAGATGAGCAGATACATCATTTTAGAAAAAGAAAATGATATTTGCAAAAAAATTATAATACAATTTTGTCAATATAGATTATGTATGAATCAATGAAATGCAGTCAAACTGAAATAGCATTCTGCCTATTTGTCATCAAGGAGACAAAGCAGTGAAGGGTCTGAGCGTTGTCCTAACCAATAAATATAAACTGTACTGTATACAGTATATTATGTATGCTGCACTCAGCCAGGCATGGACGATACCAGGGCAAGTTACTGGTACTCCCTTAATCAGTTCTTGTACATCACTGTGCGACACGCACACACACACACTCTCACACACCCACGAGAAGCTTGACGCACAAGTGCACATAGGCTAGAGAACAAATTACAGTTGGGTTACAACAATGGGCCATCTTGACTCATGAAAAGGAAAGAAGAAAGAAAAAGAAATGTGTATGGAAATACCTGTCATTGTCCTTGATCAGGAGGGAGAAGTGGCTTTCTGGTCAAAGCTCGCTGGCTGGCTGAGTAGCACTTGACATTTGGCCTGATTCAAACAGCCAATTCCACAGAAAGCTACCGAGCTGGAAAATCTCTCCAGGATCGTGCCTACTCATCTAGCTACCTCTCTCCCATTCAGTCACATGCTCTATCTGTCAACCTTACCTTTCTTCTCTCTTGTTCTTGTTCGCTCTATCTTGAGTGGGACAGGTGCCCCCACCCCCACCCCCATCTGCTTCCTTCTGGGAATGAAGAAAATAAAATGCATATGAAAGCTCCTATCCACGATGTTTTGAAACAGGACAGACAACTGCACAATCACAGAACAAGCACAAGAGAAGACAACAATAAAGTAAAGCTATGGCCAGGACATGGTAGGGGACGCTTATAAAAGGGGATGCTTGAAGGACCTGAAGGACGCTGTAAGCACGCCGCTTGCCAGCCACTTTACCTTGTCGCTGGGCACCACCTCACAAAAATCGCCCTCCTTGTGCTTGGTAGGGGAAGAATTATGACTTTGTGCCAATGAAGGAATACACACACTTGCATAAATCATCCATCTTGTTTGGCGGTTAATTACTCTTGTTTACCCTCCGAGTAACCTCGGGATGGGGCGGCACGATAGGAGGGAGCCTGGAAAGAAGAGATAGCACCAAATAGTAATCTGCTGACGCTGTTCATCAGTGTGCAGTCCACAGGAGTAAAAGCACATAGTAGGCCTGAACCTGGGTGCTAGTGAATTAGACAAGGTTGGCTAAGGTCTGAGGATGGCAGCTCCATCAACATCCTGGCTTGACCACAACTGCTCGCTAAGCTGTTCTGGGGTCAGCCGGTGAAGGAGCCATGCTGAGGCAGCCCAGTGTAGGCCAATAGCAGAGCTCCTCAGGATGTACAGCAGGCTCTGATCGTTGCTTATTTCATTATGAGGAAAGCTACATAAATCCACAAAATGGAGAGGAAGAGGCACAGAGGGAATATTTGCATTTCACTTCTCCTATCAGCTCCCCTCAATGCCCCCCTCCCACCCCTCAACTTTCAATCCCTCCGCTATTGAGTGCAGAGTGACTTTAATCATCACTTTCACCAAAACACATTAAGCCAGTGTGTCCGGAGTTGAAGAGGGAGCGAGGGGGTTGAAAAAACACAGAGTGGTGCATTAGATTTGCAATAGCGATGCATCACTCTGGCATTACTTTGGAGATTAAAGAAGGGACATTGCATTTCAGTGGAGTGGTGTTGATGGTTGCTCAGCGGATGCCTGTCCTCCTGCACCAAAATGAACAGGGACTGCCACTGTCCACCAGGGAGAGAAGTCACACTGGCCCTGTAGCTCCCTTTACTTCTTATTCCCTTTTTCTAAAAACCTTCTTTCTTAAATCTCAATGCCTCCCCTGCCTTTTAACCCCAAATCTGAGAGCACCTCTACACTGAAAGATATTTATGCAGCTGTTTGATCATGTTCTCAAGTCAAAAACAACACCTCCTTTGTAGGAAGAGATAATACTGTAGAGTGGATTGCATACATTAAACTTAAGCCAACACACAACATGACTTTGCCTGGTCTTTGTGTTACTGCATCTGTATGAAAGGGTGGGTGTAAAGTGCTTGAGAGCATAGGACAGGCAGAATGAGATAGGGGGGAGTGCATAAAAGCAAAACAAAAAAACTGAAGGGCGTGAAGAAGAGAGGGCGGTAGCAGTGGGCTCTCTGGGGCAGGTTCAATATGGAGTCATAAGATTTTAAAAACAGGGGAGGAGAGAGGAAGGGTAGGATGTGGGGGTGTAGGGAGTCCCGCAGGAAACAAAATGACAATGCGTATTTTGTTCTACAGTCTCAGAGACACAGAATCACAGTCAGTCAGTCCAAGGGTACAGCCCACCAGCAGCCTGGCCCGGTGGGTGAGCTTTCAGGTCATGGTCTATCCAAACCCTTGGGTCTGGGTTCATCCTGGCACCCAGCTCTGGTTGCTGTGTGCCGGTGGAGGGCAAGCAAAGGCCCCTAGGCTCATGCCCATCCCCATGCTCACACCTTGGGACAGAGAGCCGTCGAAGTTGAAATCCATGCTCTCCGTGTCCATAAAGTCATTGAGCAGGATGGAGTCTACATCACAGTCTAGGTTATTAGGGATGTTCTCCATCTCCAGGTTGGCAGCCATTCTACTGTGGGAGTTGTGCTGTTGCCCCTGGTAACCAGCATTCCCCGACTGCTGGTTGTTGTGGAAGTAGCCATGCCAGGAGTCAGTCATACCCTGATGGTGAGCTCCTGAGTAAGGCTGGTGACGGGGATGAGGCGCAGACGCCAGACGGCAGGGGTCCTGGGGGACGTCCATTACAGTGGCGGGGTTGGGTGGCAGGGACGGTGATGTTGGAAGCTGGGATCGGGGCCCATAGTGGTTTGAGGTTTTGAGGCTGTAGGGCTGCAGGATGTCAGTGCTAACCCGGGGGGAGAGGGCCTGTGGGTGAGGCCCACTGTGCATAGGGTTGTGGGGGTTGTGGCTGTGCATGTGGCTCTGGCTGGAGCGAGGGTTGTGTTCATGGCTGGTGTTTACTTTGTTACCATGCTCGTGACTTGCACTATAGTCATGGGGAGGGAGGGGCTTGTGGCTGTGGCTGTAGTCAAGGCTGGCTTGACGTTTGTGACCCTGATTGTGGTTCTGATGGTGGGTTGTGCTCTGGTCATGGACTGAGGCATGGCCATTGTGTAGACTGAGACTGTGAGCATGCTCCTGGCTGTGATCGTGGTTATGATTGTGGCTGTGATTTTGATTGTGACTGTGAATACCATTGGTTCCCTGTGTCATGAGAGTGCGTGTTTCCCGTCCCTGGCCTAGCACTGTGTCTTTGCTGCAGTACGAAGGACCCCCAGTAAGCAGACTCTGCAGGGCATTGTTCTCTGAGTAGCCCCTCAGTGGGTGCTGGAAACTGACTGGCTTGTTCTCCTGGATGGTCTCCATGGGAGTGTGGTGCCGGAGCATGCCCATAGAAGGCTGTCCGTACATGGGCCCGCAGTAGGAACCCTCTGCCTTAGGCCCAGGCACATAGGGATAACCATTGCATTTGATTTGTGGTGGCTGGGGGGCGCCACTCTCATCTAGACTGATAGCCCCAGTCAGGTCGGTCAGCTGGGGCAGCTCCACAGTGGGGCAGTGACCCCCACTACCCAGGGCTGGGGAGCGTGTGCTGGTGGGGCTGGGGTAGAGTCGAGGGGAGGCTGAACAGGACAGCCCACCCTCCTCTGGTTCATCAGCCTCTGTCTCAGCCAAGATCGGGGACAGGCAGCCGCTCAGCGTGGATGCAGAGGAGGAGGTGCGGGAATGGATATCTGTCCAGGTGTCATACTCCTCACCTCCCATGCCCACGCCTCCTTTACCTGCTGGACTGCCATGCTCCGGGGAACCTTGCAATGCAGGTCCACCACCTTGACCTTGTCCCCGTCCTAGACCTATGGCCCCTGCTCTCTTCCGACTGATCCGACCCTTGGTCTTCAGGTAGCGGATGCCATTGTCTATAGAGGCTGCACGCCGTCTAGGTCCCTTTCCCATCTTCCCGCCTTCTGGGTTCAGCATCCACCAGGAACTTTTCCCTGTCCCTTCATTTTGCACCCGGATGAAGCGACTGTGTAGGGACAGATTGTGTCTGATTGAGTTCTGGAACAAAAAAGAAAGATGGGAAAGAGATGGTGGAAGAAGGGGAGTAAAGGGCACAGAAGAGAGAGAGAAAGAAAGAGATAAACATTAACACCCAAGGGAACATTTACAATTAAATTATTTCTTGAAAACACAAAGTCATTTCAAATTATAGCCAAACTATCAAGGCTACACAGCAAGTGAGAGAAAGTATGAATAAAGAGGGAGACAGAGGAGAAAGCAAAGAGGGCAGGGAGAATGAAGGACCAATCGATACCTCCCCTGACCAGCCTCTCCTCTCCACGCGCTCACTGAGTCATAATATGGACATGGGTGCAGCCTCCACATCAAACCATCACCAAGGTTACAGAAATGAATCATACGAGGCAACCCAATCACAGACAGCCCATATCGATTGCAGGCCTCCAAATATGTGAGCCAGAGATCCAGCCAGAGACGAGAAGAAAGGCAGAGAGTGAGAGAAAAGGAGGGGGAGGCATGATTTTGGCAGGAGAAGATGTGGAAGAGCACTAGAATGAAAAAAAGAAACACTCATCCACAGGCTTGAAATAAGAAAGAAGGAAAGTAAATGGGGGGACATGCTCATTTAACCTCTTTTAAAGTCGCGGCACTATTAACATGACTGTAGGCAATGATAGCAAACAGTCCTATTTACAAAGTCCTCCTACGAGTATTGGTGAAGGGGGATGGAAGTGACAACTGGTAGGTAGGTGTGGAGTGGTGGAGTGTGTGTTATGTTTTGTTTTTTCAGGGGGGGTAACATAAGCCTCTCCAAACCCCTGTTTAAGTGCCTGAATGACAGCTGTATAGTTAATCCAGAGCTCCACAGCAGCAACATTTGCAGTCGGTGCCAACCTGGACTGAGTTGATGAGATCTAAGCCTGCCTAAAGCAGAGTTTAGCAGGGATACACATCATCACATTATCTCAGTTGGCCAAGTTAGTCTAAGCACAGCATGTTCGTCCAAATCTTTCCTGCTTGTGTCATTATTCACACTCTCTCCAGCTTTCCTTCCTTCTTCTTTCCCTCTTTTTTACCTTCTTTTTCTTGTGAATCAACAACCCCCCCCAAAACCCCAGCCTCCACCCTCTACCCCATGCACGTAATCACACACTTTTCTTTTTCCTCTCTGGAGATATCTATCTATTTCTGCCTTGTTTATTACCTGCACATAGCTCACAATCTCTGTCTCCTGATATCTCGAGCCATTCTCTATCTTCATTCACTCCCCGCCTCCTGTTCAATTTTCCTGCTCTCAGCCCCATTCATCTCCCTCTCTGTCCCAGCATCTCTTGATCACAACATTGCTCATTCTCTCCCTCTCACCTTACACAACTTCTATCCTCCCCCCTCTCCCATCTTTCATTCATCCATTCACACTGAAAGCTGAGCAAAATATCGAAAACAAATAGCAGGAGATGCAAATCTGTGTTCAGTAGGGGGGCCAGCTTACATTTCACCCTTCAACGCAATCCATACAGTCAGCATATGTACCCCCTCCAATCTGGCAGCATACAGAGCTGCATGGCTGCAAAACTGACATCCAGCTAAAAGAGGTGACGGCTCTTTGTTGTTGCAGCATCTTATGAAAAGCACAGCATCCAGAACAGCAGGTAATAGGTTTCTCGCAAAATGTTTACAGGGGGAATTCAGCTTTAAGTGGGTTTCAAATCAGTCTTGTATCCTACCTACCACTATTCTCATTCACACAGCAAAGCCCCCTCCACATGCACTCATCCCCTCAGCATTACTCCTAACAAGTAATTTCATCACATCCTCCACTCAAATCACATTGCTTTGACTAGAGTCTCTTCACAAATGTGGAAATTAGATAGAAGAGATTTATGGGGGGGGGATTTGGGGGTTCTGTTGTTCAAAACACCAGGTTGGCAAAATTGAACAAACTCAACGCTCGATGACGAATTAGACTGAAGGCACTTCTCCACCACAGTACGCTACAGCGAGCAGACTTAATCAAAGCCAAATTGAACGATGACGGCGTGTGAAAGAGGCCACCGGTGGAGGCGCCCCGCATCAGGTGATCTCAGAGCGGCGCCCTGACAGGTTCCTCCACAACGTGACAGCTCTGGCTGGGCGTCACCATGGCAACAGAGTAAACCAAAAGAGGGAGAAATGAAGAGAGGGGAGGTGATGGTGGGAAGGAGGGGAGGCGGCTGATGCTGTTTGATGCTGCAGGCAACTCCAAACAGCCTTTTATCTGAGTCTGTCAGATTCCTGCTTCCAATCCACAGGGGAGGCTCAATCACCAGTAGTCCCAGCACCTCACTACCTGTACCAAGCTATGATTAGCAGTCGAGTGTGCGTGTGTGTGTGGAGAGAGAGAGAGCTTCTGTACAACTACCAGCGTAACAATTATACCACCAGTATTCTTCATTCACCTGCTTATACATTCTAAAACACTATAATGTGGCAGCTCTCTAAATTGTCTTCTGTATTTAATAAGATTGAACTGACATTCTTTAGAGGCTTAGAGGAGCATTTTTGTACTGAAACTGCTAATGGTGAAAATTTGGTCCTGGCACTCAACATCTAATGTTACAGTTTATATGTCCAAATATTTCTGACTGACAGTCCAAGTGTTTGAACACAGGAGAGCAATAAAGGTCCAATAGACCATCAACAATTTAGCAAAAGACAAATGGAATTGTAAGAGGCCTCTAGAGTTCTTTAAACCTGACACACAAACAAGTGACCGACATCAGGTTATGGACACCCAGTGCACAATTTATCCAAAATAAAATTACATTAATCTTAACTGTGTTGAGAAACGCATGCAGAGGATATGTTTAATTTCTTCTTTCTAAGATTAGTTACTAACTTAAAACCATTCACCAATCATTGTGCTATGTACTCCAAAACACGCTGGTCAACTCTCTGTATGTGTCATTTGAGTTGTTGGTACATTTTTATTCGTAAAGCCATTGTGTATAAATTTTCTCCATAGTGTTGCAGACTTATTTCATGGAGCTCCTCATCCTTTAATACTCTTAGAGCACAACGTACATATTTGTTCAGACACAGATGGGAAAAAGCCTTTATCTTCTCTGCCCCATCCACTTATAATAGATTGCAAAGAGAAATTTTGTGTATGATCACTTTGGACGGTGTAGTTTGTGGCATTGTTGAACTGTATTGCCATATACTGAGAGGTGTTTCAATTCCATTTATATCAGTAAGGACATGCTGAATAACAGGGACACCTTTCTCAAATCATTCTACCAATAGCAAGCTAATACACATTATTAAATCAAGTTTGGAGTGGTACTGCTCTGACTCTGTTTAATAGATAGAACAAATAATGTTCCTTGCCATAACCCATTTCTTGTAATGTAAGTTGCATCTTGCAGCAAAACACCATCTTCCCATTCCCACCAAGTCATTCTTGGCTTATTTAAGGTATTATGGGTAAATTTAATTGGTGTTTCAGCTTCATTTATATGCTGGCATCAGTGGTGTCCTGTCTCTGTGCTGTTGACCCTATAAACCCACCAAAATGAGTACAAATTGTTTTGTTGTTGTTGTTTTGTTTTAATGGCGGATACAGTAAGTTACCTCAGATCAAACTGATTCTTGGCTTCTTTTTCTGTGTCGCAAGAAAATTAACAGCATCAGTCATTTCAGTAAATGTCCAAAAATATCAGATCTTTTTCAAGTGACAAACTGCATTTGTATGAATTATGGTGCTGCTTGAATATGTCAACATATTGTTGGACACTGAGACCTCCTACCTCCTACACATTCCCTCCTTCAGACAGCCAGTGTGGGTAGTTATTATTTAACCCTTATCATCAAATGTTCCAAACGTTTAATAAAGTAGCTTTTCCCACAAGTTCTCCAACCTAGACAACAATATACTGCATGTCCTTTGTAGCTACCTATACTGTATATAGTCCATAGTACCCTTCCAGTGGCCTACATACCAAGCCTGCTGTCACAGTAACAGTCAATAGCTCCAAACAACTGTTCCATCAAGTGTACCAGACCTTCTTCATCATGGAAATGATCATAAACATGATTACATAACTTGGGTTTTGGCACAAAAACAACTTGGTCAGGTTTAGTGAAAGTTAGTGGTGTGTGATAAAATGACCTTTGTCATCATGGTTACAATATTAAACACATGGCTAAGGTTGTGGAATGGTCATCAATGTTTCACACTGGAATCAAACACCAATCCCCTTTTGATAAAGTCCTGTGTTTTCTGACCCATCCACCATCCCAACCTCCTCCTAACACAAACTTTATTCCTTATGTATTACATCACCTAACTTCCTCCTTTGCTTGTCTCACCTATCTTTAACACGATACTGTTGTTCATAATAACCTGCTGGCAAAAAAAGTGGGGAAAGTGGAACCTGTCACTACAGCTGAAGAAACAATTAGCCTACCTGTCTGCAGCATCAGCTAGTAAAGATACTGCATACTGAGAGCAGAGGTACACATGCAGTGGGAGCCAGACTTAATCAAAACACAGCTGACCCAGACTTGTATGGAACAGGTCCCTGGCAAATGCAACAGTAAGGACAAAACCATACCAAGAAAACAAAATGAAAAAATGATAGAACCTCTTTATTATTACTTTAATGATCTGGAGACCATTGTGCATCCAGTAAATCATCATGACTGTGTTTCAGAACTGGACCATCACATGCAGTGGAAAGGAGAAAAGTCTCCAGGTTATTATTGCAATCAAAGGCCATATACCAGGAGACATGAGCCGCCAAAGTGGAGGCGCTGAACACTTCAATCCTCTGGCATAGCCTTTGGTTGGAAAGAAGCCTGCACCCTCAGGCCTCCACGGCAAACAGCTACCAGTCCCTGGCTCACTGTATATACTGACTTGTCAAAGAGACTGATTCTTAAGTGGAGAAACCTGTTCCCCCAGCTCTCAGCCTTTTGCCTTTCTGATAGTGCTTGAGGAGATGAACTGTTGCAATGAGAACAGTGACTGGATCTGTCCTCACATCCATCCAGTCCAT